AGAGTTAGATAAATATTTGGGTGAAGATGTTGAGGAAGACTTTGAAAATTTTAAAATTCTGGGATGGTGGAAGTTGAATTCACCCAGATTTCCCGCACTTGCTGATATGGCACGTGATGTGCTAGCCATTCCTATTTCTAGTGTTGCCTCAGAATCAGTCTTTAGTACCGGTGGACGCATACTTGATCCATTTAGGAGTTCATTGACACCTAGATTGGTTCAAGCTCTTGTGTGCGTCCAAGATTGGCTTCGGAATGAATCAACAACTCTGGTTAAAATTGAAGAAGATTTAGATAATCTTGAACAACTTGAAGCGCGTAAGACTATCTTATTTCTTCTATTACTTTACTTGTGTTTAATGTATACTTATGTTATGTTTCTTTAGATTATTTTTAAACTAATTTATTCTATTACTATCTTATTCTACAGACTTGATTAATACCGGAAAAGAGCCTTGCATCGTCGACATATAAAAGATACGAGTTCGTGGCATGTTAAAAGTTTTCTTAAGCCTTCTAATAAATTGAACCAAGCTGCTGCATTAAGCCTTCTCTATTGTATTGTTTTGTTCTACCACCAAGCAGTCAAGCTGCTGTATTAGGCTGCTGCACAGGCTGCCCAACTTGACATGATACACATTTACCGATTCTCTCATTTTTGACAAGTGTAGTATTGCAGAACTTGAAAGTGTGCCAGGTTGAGGATTTTAGTTCCAGTGTGCCAGGTGTGCCAGAACTTAAGGCTGCTGCATTAAGGAATTCTGGTTGAGGATTTCAGTTCATTAGTGATTAAACAGCTATTTGGGATTTTAGTTAATTTTGTTTTATTCTGAAGATTGTGTTTTGTTTATGGACATGTTGAACTGTTGAATTATTACCTTCTCTTGAACTGTTAGCTATGCTTCTGCTCTTGTGTTTCTTCCATTTTGGTTCGTAAAAGAATCTGGATTGAATGAGAATGATCAGTAGAACTTGAAATTCTTTTGCTATGCTTTTGCAAAGTACCACAGTTATTGCAGGGACTTGTGTTATGCTTTTGCTATGCTTCTGCTATGCTTCAACTGGGAAATGAATTTGTGCAATATTGTGTACCTTTATGGGTTGCAAGTACAATGAGACTGTCAGCTTTAACCAGTTACAATACTATACTATTAGACATTAGTAACATATTTATTAATTGGAATGAAGCCAAAAGTAAAATCTTGAGGTAAAGTAATTTATAGTCATTTGTTTGCTATTTTTGTTCTTTTAAATGCTATTGTATTATGTAACATCCATTATCCATATACAGTTATACACACTCCTTAATAATACATACAATCCGATCCGAAAATCCGATCACCAATCCGATCCAAAATTTAAAAATACGATCCAATCCGATATAATTCGGATCGGATTCGGATTGCAATTTGTGGAATCCGAAATCCGAAATTTCAATCCGAAATATGCTAAATCCGATCCGATCCGATCCATGCACAGCCCTAGGCAGAAGCACCATATGTGAATGCTCGGTATTTTCCAAAATATTATAGAAAGAAGAATGATGAAGCTTTATCAAACTTCAGAAAAAAGCGAACAATAACGAAGGTAGACAACGAAATAGGATTATCAACTTCTTTTCCTTAGTGTCAATTGACAAAATCAAAATACTGCAGATAGAATATGAAGGGAGGATTTATATTTGTTCACCCAGTATAGAAAAATGAAGATTATTGTGCACAAACAGCCTTAGATGAGAACTTGATTTCTTGACTCCCATAGCAATCAAAACAATAGGGCGAAGTTCTCTATCGTCAAACAATGACATGAAGTTCTCTAGTACTAAGTTGCGCGGACTCTTCGATTTTGGTGTTGTCCCCGTCCCGATACAAGACGGGGACGGGATATGTCCCGGATTCGGTCAACTAACTTCGGACACTTTGATCGGAGTCCATCGACAAATTTGGGAGAAAAATTGAGATTATGATTTCTCAAAATCAAAAATAGAACAGATTTAGGACAATGAAAGAATAATGTCCATCTTGGAGAATGAAAGATTGAATTCTACAATATTCATGTAAGTTTTTCACAGAATATCTCTCAAAATTTACAATATTTTTGTAGTTCTATTTTTTATTAGCCGAATCCCGCACCCGTATCTATATCCGGATCTGCACCCCCGAATCTTAAATTTTAGACTTTGCCGAATCCGATACTCGGATCCGTTCCTGTATCGCATACCCGCACCCGAGTCCAAGCAACTTAGTTCTAGCACAGGAAAGAAGTAATAACCTTCGGCATTTGGATAAAAACAAAAGAGACTAAAGCAACCACATTACTCCAACTAATTTCATCACGAGGCGTAAATGGGACAGATTCCCTGCGAACCCAGTTGTTGTAGAAGACAAATCATAAGGCAGCTAGAATTTCTTATGGAAGAACAAAGAATAGATAGAGAACTGGTCAAGTAGTTGCTGAAGCTAAATGCCACAAAACTTCAAATTTGAATGGCATGAAAGAGTACGAAATTTGACATCAATAATTAACCAGAAGGGTAAAAATTTGAAAATACACTTAGTTAAGCTTCAGTTTCAAAAGCCAATAGCTCCTTAAAATGAAATGTACATACCTGCATTACAGGACTTCTGTCTTTCCCCTTCTTTAGTAAAGCTTCAAGCTTCTTGTTATCCAACTGAAAATGCAAGAAACGTTAAGCTTAAGGATTTTTGTAACTTACAATCCAAAGATTGAAACTTTTGAATTCGAACTATCTTGAGTAAAGCAAAAAGGTACCAGAAGCAAAGCAGCTTGAGGGAAATATTTGAAGATATGATCTGCAATATTCTTGGCCACATTCCCAACCTCGAAATCATCAAATCTTTCATTTGCATGAAAGTAACCCACAATACTCAAACCTTTATCAGCATAGTACTCCTCGATCTATCCAAATAAACATCCAAACAAGATGAGACTTCCAAATAACTAAAATTACAAGTAGAAGGCATGGTATATGCATGTTTAAAGCAGTGTGTATCCACTACCTTCAACTCTAACAACATATATTTAGTTGAAAATTCTCCAAAAGCATTGATTTATACTCGACTCAAATCTATTGTCGCACAGAAATAATAGATACTGACCCACATCTAAAAGTATTGGATTTAAGTTATATACATTGACAATGTAAGATTTTTTACATTGTGATACCAGTTACCATTTTTTCTTAGCAGGTTACTTCCTCTGTTCAATTTTGTGTGGCACTCTCTCCTTGTTAGTCAGTTCCAAAAAGAGCAACACCTTTCTATATTTAAAAACAATGTAACCTTAAGCTTCCCATTGTACCACTAATGACATGCTTATATAGTCGCATAAATATTTTAGACAAGATTCAAAAGAATTTTTTCCCTACACTCTGTGTCCAATCAAACACAAAAACATAAATTAAAACGAAGGGAGTATCGATTAATGCTTATCATAATGATTAACCAGTAATTACTAGTTACCTGGTTGTGCAAATATTTTTCAAACGTCAGCTAATAAAACTTTAAACTCGTATTGGATTCATTTATACTAGGATTTAAGTTAACAGTGTAATATAAATTTTTGAACTTTAAACTCGTATTAGATTCATTTATACTAAGTTCAAATTGATCATCACAAAGATCAGCGAGCCAAACCGACATTTACAAAGTAATCATTAAGACTAAGTTCAAATCCACTGACTGTAAATTCCAGATGCAAAGTTGAGAGAAGAAAAGGGGGACTGACTTACCATGATAAGGGAAATTTCGAGCGGAGGAAGGAGGCCAATCTGAGAGTGGAATAACGGAACGGATTCGACGATTTCGACGGCGGTGTCGTTGCCGGAGATCCGGCCGAGAAGAACACCGTTGACGGAGGAAGTCTTGTGCTTAAGGGCATGTAGGATTAACTTGATGTACGCGTTTTGATGAATCTCGTAATTTGATTCGCCGCCACCCATCTCGAACACGAACAATTACTGTGAAATCCTTTTTGCAGGCGCCGGCTAAAATAAAATCTGTTTCTACGTCTCGAGAAGTCGATGCTCTCTGTGTAAATAGAATCTGTCACTACTATAAGTCCTTTTTGGTTTTGTTTTTATTCATCTTTAGTTTTTTGGGAAGGGAAAGGATACTTATATTAATAATAGTAATAATAACAGTTACACGCTAGGGTACGAGACCCATATCATTTTCTTTTGTACATACTAGAGAAATGTCTTCTAAGGCACAACCATTGCCTAGTGCCGTTAGGTTACTACACACATTCATAGAAATACATTCTAACATATATATGGTCATCCTGATCCTTGCAATAGGCGTCCATTGCGAAGATAGGAGGTAAGACAAAATAACAACGTTTATTATAATTAGGAGCCATTAGAGCTTCTTTTGCGAACTGGTGTGCTACCATGTTCCCTTCACGAAAGCTATGCTTCATTGTGATCTCCCTTTGCTGCGTTGCCTTCTCCATTAATCATTTGCATTCATGAATTAAATCATTATAAGTAGGATAATCCTCACGAAGGAAGCATATGACTTCTGTGGCATCTGTTTCAACTTCAACTGGAAATATGTTTTCCTTGATGATTATTTGAAGTGCATGATGTAGTGCTTGGAGTTCTGCCTGGATAGGTGATGTTGTGGGATGCTTCTCGTAGTAGCCCAGTATCCATTCGCCTTTGTTGTTGCGTATTATTCCACTGACACCTCCATGTAAGCAGCTATTGTTGAAGGCTCCATCAAAATTGAGCTTATACCAATTTCTTGGAGGAGTCTGTCACTTTGTTTTAAGCTTGACTTTTATATTATTAGTAGTAGGCTTGGATGTTAACAAGTGGTATTCCAATGCTTGGTTAATAACTTTGGTCGTGTTGATATGGTTGCTAGTATTGTTCACGTTGTTTTCATTTCTGTTTCGCCAAATCGCCCATAATACAAATGGAAAAGTTTCCTTCCATGTGATGAATTTGTTGGTTATTTTAGGATTCCTAGTATGTAAAAAATCTACCCAGTGTTCATTATCCATTTGATTGGTTATGGCTACCTCCATGGTTTGCCAAAAGGTTTGAGCCACCGTGCATTCCCAGAAGATATGTAGTGTGGATTCATTTATGGTCTTGCATATCAGGCAGTTTGGGTCGATGTTACTACCAATTTTTTCAAGGTATTCTCTAGTATGGACACGTGAGTGATAGCATTTCCATTGGAAGAACTGGATTTTCCTTGGACATTTTGTGCCCCAAATCCAATTGAATTTTTTATTTGGGGGTATTGTTTATCAATCAATTAATAACAGGAAGAGGTTGTGAATACCCCACTAAAGTTCATACTCCAGATGAGGTTGTTGATATGAGTAGTGTAGGAGGTTGCAGCTAAGGAATGGATACTAGTAATAATGCTTTGAGGAAGCTCAAAAAAAAAATTGTTAGATCCCATCCATTATTATTCCGAATGTCTTTGATTTTTAAGCAATTTTCATTATAGGTTAGGGGACCAATAATATTATCTCTAAGATTGTTGAAATTTGGAATTTAATTTGTGTCTCAAATATTCATGTTCGAGTGTTGGTCTACTGGCCACCTTATCTTTTTCATCTTTAGTTGGAAAAGCTCCAAACTAAAATAGGAGGCCGTTTTGATTGTGTTTTAAAATTAGGTTATGAAAATTATTGGCTTTTTAAGTTTGACTTTTGAAGAACTATTCTATGTTTTTGTATAGTATTAATTTTAATAAGAAGTTAATTCTATGTAGATTGAATTCTATCTTTTTTAGATTTTATCATTTGAAAAAGAAAAAAGTTCAAATGTATCCTTAATAAATGTGATTTGTTGTACATTTGTTCTATAATTATATTTCAGTCCATGAAAGTCCCACGGTTATCTTTAGTCTCACTAAATTGATTTGGTTGATACTATGAGTATAGTTAAATATTTTCAAGTGTACATAGTATATTTGAATCTTTTTAATTATTAAGGAACGTACTTCAAACTATTGCAAAAAAGAAATTTGATCGTTTAGGGGTAGATTCAAATATTTTGTTAGTCTACAAGCTCTACAGTAGCACATGCTAGAGCCAACTTGTAAATTGTTACATCCCGTATTTTTTGTACGTTAAAGTTTCGTCGTAAGTTAATCGATGCAAGTTCGGGAATGAAATTTTCTTGAGATTATAAGCATTTATGTTATTTATAACAAGCAATAAGCAAGTGCCGTGAAAGATACAAGGTAAACGAATCAAAGAAAATGAGTTTCGTTGAAGGTTGTCGATTTGGGATAAAATACGATCCAAGCTACAATACCCGGTATTTATACACTAGTGTCATACAAGGTATCACATGACCATGATAGTAGGGTACATAAAGTGTGTCAAGTGAGTAGTATTTTAAATAATTTGAGATAATTCTTAATTATGTGGGTAATTGGTTAAATATTGGATTAGTGGGAAATTAATAAGTTAATTAAGGAGTTGGTTGATAGTTAATTAAGGTCTTTGGATAAAGACTAAGGAAAGCTAACGTGGCAGCAAAATCTTGTCCAAATTATGACTCTTATACTATGAGTGAGAAGGTGGAACATTTAAGTAGTATATGGCTTAGTCATACCATTTAAAGCCCAAAACTTATCTAAATCAAAAGAAAGGTCTTACATCAAATTGTCAGGCAATGGAGATTCACTTAAGAATTCAAGCAAAAAAATTCCTTAAGCATCTTAGCAACGTGACTCTAAAGAAGCCCGGTATAATCTTTCTCAAGAATATCATACGGATTTTTTCCTACTCCGATCTTGTCGTCACGAGTTTTGTCACAATTGTCGTGTGTTAGAAGGATTGTCCAGAGAACCGGCTCAGGTATGTTAAGGATAAGCCCTTCCTTCATTTTGGCATGATGCGTAATTACATGAGTTTGATAACGAGGCATAAAGAGAAGTTTGTATTCCTGAATTTATATACACTATCCTAATCTCATAAGTTACAGTATTCTCTCTTATCGGGACTTCATATTTAATTGAAAATTGTCTTATTCCAGTCAAGAGAGCGGAGGGTATATATATATATACAGTATTATAGTATTTTCACCACCATCGAGCTATAATCGGTGGGCAGGCCCCTATTGGGTAACCTCTAATCATATGCTAAGTTATATACCGAGCCTACTATGGCCTAGCGCCTATGAGTGAGCCCAGCATGACCGAGATATAGAGCCTAGTATGGCCGAGCGCCTATGAGCGAGCCTACTATGGCAGAGTAGTTATATATATACCGAGCCTTATAAGGTCAGATATTTGTTTTACTTACTATATTAAGAGAGTTGAGTCAGTATCAGCGGGCAAGTATATCTCCAGATCATCTTTGACTCCCAGTTACTTTCAGTTATTATATTATCAATTCAGTTTGAGCTTTCAGTTATTTTATTACCTTGCATACTCGGTACATTATTTCGTACTGACGCCCCATTTTCTGGGGAAGCANTATATATATGTTATGGATAGATCGGGGCCTGTTCCGATCATAATACATCCATCAGTAAAGGCTTGTAGACATATCCTGTTAGTTAGTGCAGTATATTGGGCTTGTAGACCTTGTATGTATATTTTATTTGTTTGTCAGCTGTAATAGTTATGACGGCCTTGTTAGCCCAGCTTTATATTGATGTTTAGTCGGTGTTAGCTTCCGTTCAGTTTTATATGTTGCTTCGTAAATTGTCTTGCAATGGCCAAAGTATGACATTATATGTTCAGAGTCCCTTAGTCGCAAGTTGGTATGCAAGGATAGATAAGGCTCCGGGTGCCGGTCTCGCCCCCCAAGTTCGGGGCATGACAGAAGTGGCATCAAAGCAGTTCTATCCAAGGGAGTCTACAAGCCATGTCTAGTAGGGTTTTGTTTATAGTTTTGTTGTGCACCACATTATTTAAGCAGGGGACTACAGGGCATTTAAGAGTTGGTTACCCTTCTTTCAAATCTAAATTGTACGGTAGAATTGAGTTATAGGAAATTTGAGTTAAACTTACGTGTTGGCATTTGCATGCATAGATGACGGTGACTAGGAAGACAATGGCTATCCAGATGAGAGATACAGCGGTAGGTGAGGGGACTAGCAGGGTACCCCTAGTAGATGCGGCCCAATCTGAGGCCGAGGGAGAGACCCCTACTCAGCCATTACCATTTCCTACACCACCTAAGGAGATTGCTAGGGAAATTGCACATCCAGTTCCCCCTCCGCTTCCATCAGATCGGGACTTGAGGAGTGCGGTGCATTTTTTAACACAATTGGTAGCTACCCAGCAACATGTTAGGGAATCTGCTAATGCAGTATCTTCTGAGGGGTCTGGGAGTTCAAAGGTCCGAGAGTTTATTGCTTTGAGTCCCCCAGAGTTCACAGGGACAGATCAGAGGGAGGAACTGCAAGATTTCATAGATCGGTTTCATAGGATTTTCGGGTTATGCATGCCACGGAGAAAGAGGCAGTTGAGCTAGCAGCTTTTCGACTCCGAGACATAGTCATCCTTTGGTACGAGGGATAGGAGAGGTCTAGGGGACATGATTCACCTCCAGCTAATTGGGATAATTTTTTAGATGCCTTCTTTGACTAGTACTTACCGCGGGAGATCCAACAGGCTCGAGTCGATCAGTTTCTAGCCCTCAAGCAGGGCAATATAAGTGTTCGAGAGTATAGTATCCATTTTGACTCATTGGTCAGATATGCATCATCCATAGTTGCTACTATATTGGACAGGATCTATAGGTTTATAGCAGGATTGGCCCCAGGGTTGACTAAGGCATGTGCCACCGCTGCATTGTAGGATAGTATGGATATCTTCTAAATTCAGGCATTCGCCCAGAATATAGAAAGGGAAAGACGTCGGCAGCAGGGTACAGTGAGGACTGAGTCAGGGCAGCATAAGAGGATGAGATTTGCCAAGTATCAGGAGCAGTCCCAGGGTAGTTATAGGCCCTAGTACTTCGAACGGTCACCTAGGCCTCCGCCACCTCAGTTACAGGGTTACAAGTATGACCACTATACTCATTCAGGAGCAAGTGAGAGCTCACAGGCATCGGGTTTGCAGCGATAGCGAGGTTCAGGGCAGACATGGTCATTTCTGCCATGGTGTGACATCTGTGATA